GGCCGCCGCATTGGCGACCACAGCGCGGACATCATTGCGGACGACGCGGTGGCCTGCTGCGCCGCCGCCGGTACTGCCCGACAGCCCGATTTTGCCCGCCACCAGGGTGAGATTGGCCACCGTGGCCGCCAGATACAGCTGGAATTTCGTCTTGACCCTACCGAAGTAGCGGGCCTGCCGGATGCCCAGCTGGACCAGCCGGGCCAATCTGTGCTCCACTACCACCCGTCGCGCTCGATACTCGTCGTAGTCGGCGCTCTGCTGCAACGCTCGAGCCTGCTGTAGGAGGGCTTCCTGGGGATGGATTTGCACCCGCCGTCCCGGCCGGCCTTGGGCCGCGATGCACTGGGGCCGCAGTGGACATACCCAACATACCGCCCCGTCGAACTGGAAAGCCTGCAATCGGTAGACACGACCGGCGCCATCAGTCCGCTTTCCCGCCGGCACGATGGCGTGGGTAACCTGCCCCGCCGGACAGGTGCAACTGCCCACGGCCAGGTCAAGGTGAAAGTCATTTTTGGGAAAGTGTTTCCGGTCGGGCCGGCCCGGCACTTTGGCCACCAACCGGCGTCCCGCGTCGGCGAAGGTCTGGCGGGTCCCGCCGTCCCCATAGGCGGCGTCGCCCATGGCTTCCTCCACCACCGAGCCGGTACTCGCTTCGCTGGCCTCCACCAGCTCCAATGCCCCCAGATTGTCGGGAGCGTTGCCCGGCAGCACGTCCACGGCGGTGATCAACTGGGAGTCGGTGTCCACCACAATCGCCGCCTTGTGCCCGTTGAAGCGCCGCCGGCTGCTCTTGTGCCCGTGGCGCAGCTCCGGGTCATGCACCGACAGCATCCGGTCCCTGCTCACCCCATCCCTGATGCTCACCCCGTCATCATCATCATCAGCATCGCCATCGCCACTCTTGCGCTCGATGTCCTGGAGCAGCAACTGTCCCAGCAACTCCGCTCCAGCCACTATGCTCTGCCGCTGGACGCTGTCCTCCGGCAATTCCACCCACGCCTGTCGCGCCAGTTCCAGCAGCCGGTCCGCATCGGCCACTATCTCCCCCAAAAGCTTCCGCCGCGCTTTGCGGTCCGACCAGTCAATCACCGCCTCGCCCTTGATGCTGGAGCCCAGGTACCTCTCGTACCCCTGGGCTTCCGCCCATGCCGGCAAGGTGGCGTTCGCCACGGCAGCCAGGACCCGCAACAGTTTGACGATGCCGTCCGCCAGCAGATTGTAGGTGTCCTTCACCGCGCCCCGTCCCAGGATGTAGGTCGTGTCCAGCGCCACCCGCATCCCACGCTTTTTCAGGTAGCCCGACTGCCGAGCCAGGCGCAGGCTGCCCTCGAACACCTCCCGCACCTTGTCGTGCAGTATCAACTGCGCCCGGAACATCTGCAGCGTACTCTTGGCAAAGGGTCTATCCTCAATCTCAATCCCCAACGCCACCTTCCACCGGATGTCGAAGTCAGCCCTCGCCTTGGCCTCGGCGTCGCTCACCTTGTCGTAGGTCTGCAACAGCAGCGCCGTGGCCAGCAGGCTGGGCGGCACGCTGTCCCGTCCATTGTCCGGACAGTAGATCTCGGCGAAATCGTCATCGCTGAACAGCTGGCCCCGCAACGAGGCCAGCAAACCGTAGAAGGTGTCCTGGCCCACGTAGTCCAGATACAACCGGTCCGCTTCCCACAGGCCCTTCTGGTCCGAACGCTTTCCCAGCATTGCCCTGCTCCGCTAGCCTTGATTGCCCGGAGTATAACCCCTCGCCAAATCAACCGGGGTTTCCGGCCAGCTTTCTAGGCCCTACTGGCGTTCCCGTACCGAGAGGTTAGAGGCTTGTATACTCGAGAGCCATATCTTGGGGACACAATGATTGCAGGAACCATCAAGCGCCATATATATGCAGGGCAGGTACTGTTGACACCCGGGCGTGGCCTGCCTGCCGTGAACCAAAACCCGTTCACCATTGCCAAGGTGGACGATTCACGCATTGTGTTCGAGTTTCCGTCTGGTCCCATCTTCGTTCGGTATAGCGAGATTGACCACGCAATCCGCGAAACACGAAAGGCTGGCGGTCGAGTTCGCATAGGAGCCGCCCAGGGATGGGCAGATTCCGGCACCTTGCAAAGATTCCTGCAAGACGCCAAAGGCAATCCCTTGCGAACCGCAAACTACGTAGCCCCGGTACTCGTGGGGTGTGGCGTGGCGGAATATACGATGGAAGGCAGAGCGAAAGGAGTGCACCTCGTCGACGGATCGACAAGTATATGATAGCGAAGGGTCTCGGGGCCCCTGCACAATTTCAGAGCCGCTCCGTCGCTCTCACGTGTAGCGTTTCCCGAGAACCGCCCTGAACCCCCCACTTTCGGCAGGATCCGCCTCCAGTGGGGGCTCCAGGATGTTGGTCGTCTATGACTGTAACTCTCCGATTGAACGTTGACGGCGCATGGCACTAACCTCCCGATGTCTTCCAACCAAGAAAAAGTGGCACCGCCTCACCCGCTTGGAGACTGGCCCCAAACCAGGCCTACTTGGGTTGATAGTCCCGCAGCACTCCTCAATGACTTCGCTCATGTCCTTCACATGGTGTTCGGCGAAGCGGGCCAGCCACTCCCTAATCTAACCTGCGTTTCGGGTTTGTCCCAGTTGTCGTAATCGGCCTCATCGAGTATGAGACCAGTCGAGTGGAATGTCACCCAAGCCGCCCACAAATGTGGCGCTGGTATCGTTGAAAAGCTCGCCGTGCTCCTTAGCGGTGTCATACACTCTGCGCCGAAACCAAGAATCTCTTCCTGCTGCATACCAAAACTCAGGTATGCATTGTCTTTGGTGATGGAAAACGTGAATGCCAGCAACGGAAACCGGGGAACCACCGACGTTTTCTGCGCATCGAATTCAACCCAGGTGGTCGGCACGAAACCTAGGCAGTTTGAAGTCTCACCCCATATTCAGGTCGGCATGACACTCAATGGCACCCGCAGCCTCTGTTTAGTTCCGCTCCGTAGTGGGTTTGCTTCGCGAGATGAGGTCGAAAAGCGCCCGGTGTTCCAGATAGATTTTTCGGGCCGTCTTGGTGGCGATTGTGTCGGGCATAACGTTCTCCATCAGGGTGGTCGCATACTGCGTCAGGAAACGGGCGGCACATCCTCGCGGACGGCGCCCGCCTCGCCGCGCACCAGCTGCGGACCAATTCGAAAAACGGTCGTGTAATCTGCTGCCTGCCAGTACTTCCGCTCCTCCTCCTGTTCAGGCGGCACCCCGTTCGGAGACAGGAAAACCACATGGTGCCGGTGAGCTTCCCGTGCTGGTTCTCCAAAGCTCTACGGTACTGATCGGCGACAATTGCCGAATTGGTCGCACGACAAACCGGACGACATTGTCACCCCGGGAAGCCGGTCGGCGATCGTCCCGCAGCTGGCCGGCGGCTCGCAAGCATACCGGTATGCCCACCACCTTACGGTTCTGACATGGTACTTCCACCGGGCACCGGAGATGATCCGCCCCCTCGCCCAGCTTGTTCCAATCTCCGCCCTGCAACTTCTCCTCAGCAGGACGCACAGAACCGCCTTCTAAGGTATTTTTATTGCGGGATGGATACATCCCTA